TGTTCAAATGCGGAGTTTTGCGCATCGTGTGTGTGTGTGAGTGCGTGTGTGTGTGCGCGCGCACGCGTGTGTGTGTGTGAGAGAGAGATTTCTGTTACACCAAATACACAAAATAATGATCTTTAAAAAAGCATCATATGACCCCTTTAATGCTGGTTCTGATGGAAAGGTGTCAGAATACACAGTGCATCGCAGTTTGTTGTGTATGGGGCTGGCCGGGTGCGCGTGTCAGTAACAGAACATTTCGTAGCAGAGATGACTGAAACAGTACATACATGTGAGTAGCAGCACATACATTATCAGATTTTTAATAATAAAAAAAAACATTATTTTAATTATAAAAATCCCCGTGATCCTATTTCATGTATAAATTAATGTACGTTAATTTACAGCTGTGATGATCAGTGGGCCTGAGTTTTTACCTCCATCATTAAAGCATGGGCTAAAATATAGATAGAGCTTCCCAGTGAAAGACTGTAGAATGAGTTTAGGATGAGCTGTATCAGGATCCAGAGTCACATCCACTGAGAAAACACAGAATATCAATCACAATTTAACAATGCAGATATTTTGTGATGATGATATTTGTAATATTTAATCCAGATTTAATCAGATTGTAGTGCAGTAATGAAGCTAGTGTAGTTCAGACAGCACACTGTACCTGCATACTGCTGCATCCACTTCAGCTCTGCAGAGACACATGACAATAAAACATCAGCAGATCTTTGAGATATTTTATGTGTGGAATTACAGACAAGCATTAAAGCTATATTAAAATAATTGTGGACAATTATTGTATATGTGTGCATCATGTTTTTATTTGATCAATGTACTGTATGTATAGATGTACTTGTTTGATAAAGTTTCTCATCTAGAGTTTTCTTCAGTTGAGTCAGAGCTCTCTTCAGAGTCTCCAGACTCTCATGAGTGTCCAAACTGATCTCAGGCCAGTTCCTGCTGTTTCTAGGGCTGCACAGGGATGAGTGAATCTACAGCAGGAGAGAGGAGAAATCCTTCAGCATGGGGAGTGTTATAGTGTGACATATACTGCATTATCATTGATCAGAGAGATGTTCACTTACTGGAATGAGATCTTCAGTGTGTGAAAGCTGCTCCAGCTCAGTGTTTCTCATCTTTAGCTCAGTGATCTCCTGCTCCAGCTCTTCAATCAGCTCTTGCTCCTGTTTCTCTGCTGCTTTCTGCTGCTCCTCCATCGTCTCCAACAGTTCAGTCTGATGTCTCTCAATGGAGCGGATGAGATCAGTGAAGGGCTCAATACGAGCTGCTTTCTCCCTCTTTGTGCTTCTCTGCTCAATCAGGTCAATCAACAAATGAATAGTGCTGTTGTCTGCATGCTGCACAGTTCATGTTATGGACATTATTTATATCTAAATTAATGTGCCCAGTAAGCTACTACCCACAAGCACTCACTTTTCTGACTTCTGCTGAGTGTTTGATGTCTTGAATCTTCTTGATTCTGTCGTGGATCATCTGCTGTGTGTCTTGGATCATCAGCTGAGTCTATAAACAGAGAACATTTAATTGATAGAATGACATGAGTGTGAGTAAATAATTATTCATAAGTTTATATCAAATCTTTCTAGTTTGTCTGGGAGTTTCTGTTTAATGTCTCCATGTCTCACTTGTTTTCCATCATCAGACAGAATGAGTTTAGGATGAGCTGTATCAGGATCCAGAGTCACATCCACTGAGAAAACACAGAAATATCAATCACAACTTCACAATACACTGATTCTGTGCTGATATTTGTAATATTTAATCCAGATTTAATCAGATTGTAGTGCAGTCATGAAGCTAGTGTAGTTCAGACAGCACACTGTACCTGCATACTGCTGCATCCACTTCAGCTCTGCAGAGACACATGACAATAAAACATCAGCAGATCTTTGAGATATTTTATGTGTGGAATTACAGACAAGCATTAAAGCTATATTAAAATAATTGTGGACAATTATTGTATATGTGTGCATCATGTTTTTATTTGATCAATGTACTGTATGTATAGATGTACTTGTTTGATAAAGTTTGTCACCTATAGTGTCCTTCAGTTGAGTCAGAGCTCTCTTCTGAGTCTCCAGAATCTCATGAGTGTCGAGCGGATGAGATCAGTGAAGGGCTCAATACGAGCTGCTTTCTCCCTCTCTGTATTTTTCTGCTCAATCAGGTCAATCAACAAATTATTAGTGCTGTTGTCTGCATGCTGCACAGTTCATGTTATGGACATTATTTATATCTAAATTAATGTGCCCAGTAAGCTACTACCCACAAGCACTCACTTTTCTGACTTCTGCTGAGTGTTTGATGTCTTGAATCTTCTTGATTCTGTCGTGGATCATCTGCTGTGTGTCTTGGATCATCAGCTGAGTCTATAAACAGAGAAAATTTAATTGATAGAATGACATGAGTGTGAGTAAATAATGACAATTTTAATTCATAAGTGAACTGTTTTATTATGGATAGTCTTTAGTTCTCACCTCTTCTAAAGACACAGTGTTGTGGTTCTTGTGATCTCCATCAGTGCAGGACAGACAGACGATGGTCTGATCATCTCTACAGAACAGCTCCAGAGGTCTCTCATGTTTCTGGCATATATAGTCCTCCAGATTACTCACAGGATCCATCAGTTTGTGTTTCTTCAAACCTGCCACTCTCAAATGAGGCTCCAGGTGAGTTTCACAGTAAGAGCTCTGACACACCAGACACGACTTCAGGGCTTTCAGCTTTCTCTCCTCACAGAAGTCACACAGAACTTCAGTTGTTTTCTCAGGACTTTTCTTCTTATAGTGATCTATGAGCTCTCGGAGTGTGGTATTAATCTTGAGATCAGGTCTTTGCTTGAATGTTTCTTTACAGTATGGACAGCTGCAGGTCTGGCTGTTGTCCCAGCACTTATTCAGACAGATCTTGCAGAAGTTGTGTCCACATGGAGTCGTGACTGGATCAGTGAACACATCCAGACATATAGAGCACTGAAGCCCCTCAGTCAGTAGACCACTGGAGGATGGCATTGCTAGAAAGAAAAAAATGTAGATAAATCACATAGACTACTAGTTCTGACACACATGAAACACACAATAAATTCAAGTTAAACTTAAAGTCTTTTTGATTGAAAGGTAGCTATTTTATAAATTATTGAAATGATGATGATTAATATTTTAAATGGAGACAGATAGAGAAGGAAAATAATCAACAAGTGTTCATGAAGAATCTCATAATGCACAAACTGAAGCTGGTTGAATGTAAAGACTGTCTAGATACAAACAGTGGTGACTTTGAACAAACTTAAAAATGCAAGAGGTCATCTGATCATCGCAAGATAAACCCAGACAAGCTGATCAGTAATGAAAGCACTATAACTGTACATTCCTGAACTGTATTTCAATATTACTATATAAGAAGAGTGTAAGTCATTCATGCAGTAAGTCATTATTTTCTGGGTTATTGACATACATGGAGGTTTATCTATAATCTGCCTCCTGGTTTTTCTTGGTTGTGTTGATGGTGGTGAAGATTCTGCCATTGTTTTCCCCTCTTTAAAAAAACAAAAACAAACATTGTATTTCACAATATAAAATAATGACCAATGAACTGATAAGAAACACCCCATTTGCTATATATTTGAATGTATATTTGATCACTGTGGTTTAAATGAGATCTTACCTCACAGGTCAGCGTTTGGGTTACTTATTATAGCTACTACTAAATATATTGTAGAAACTTTTTTTTTTTTTTTGTAAAGCAGCTTTGCAACGATTTGTATCGTGAAAAGCGCTATACAAATAAACTTGAATTAAAATGAACTTATTCTTAATATGATTATTATTTTACATTAGATATTTTCAAAGAGGTATGGTCTTACGGAGTAAATAACGACTATTTACTCTTCTCACCCTCTGAAAGAAAGTGACATTCAAGTTATTTAAATAAGTTATTTTCATTTTTCAAAATTAAAACTGATTTGGATCATGACCATTTAATCAATATTTACATTAAATTGTTTAAATCTCATGCAAACATTAATAGCCATTAGTCCTTTATCAACACAGTAAGACTCATAAACTCACTGATCAATCTGAACTATGACCTGCTGTTTAGATTAAAGAAAGTAATGTATTTTTCAACAAAAATATATCTTTCCACATATTAGATGTATTATATGGTCAAGAGTCATTTTCATATTGTTTATTATAAACATGATTTTAAACTGTAGTGTAGCAGTTTTGTGTTCATTCTGTCTGAAGCTCATTTATTTCCTGTTTCTTTCATCTTAATGTCGCGTGGCAAATTGAAAGTAACACCAAACTTTGCTGTAATACTAATCAAATGACATACTTTAAATACAATTCTGATACCATTTCAATGCAGTAAACAACTAAAGTATTGGAGTGTTTGACATGATTAAACCTGGTTCTGTTCAACTTATTCCAGTTTGACATAAACTAGCTAAACCAGACCACTTCCATTAAAAACCTCTTCACGACAATCTCTCTTATATTTCTATCACTTACCTGTACTTATAAGTATCTTTGAACATCTCAATAAGTATTCTGTTGTTTAAAGAGGTTGATCGTTGCAGGCATGTTGTTCAAGTTAGTTTCACTTTCTCTGAACTCCAGTGATGTCAGAGCTCCTCCTGTACTTTAGGGCTGGGAGTCTTCAGGCACTTCACGATCCCATTCCAAAACGATTCTTGATCTACATTTTTCCCCAATTAATTATTCTGCTGTGCAAATACATCAACTTTACATTTTTACTTTTACTTTACTTTTTGTTTATAGTTGGAATCTCTGTATGTCAGGGGTGTGAATCTTCACTGGTTTCACGATTCAAGTCAATTACGATTATTATTATCAACTCAATATCACGATGGGTCACATTCTGTTTTCAATAGGCTATTACTGCACATGGCTACATTTCATATAAATATTCTATCAAATTTATTTTGTGCAAAATTTACTTTATTTTTTTTTATTATATATAAGCAGGCTACTTTTTAAAACAATACCTTATTTAAAATAAGTGTTCTTTAAGTATCCGAAAGAATACAGACAATAGTTATGGGTTTTTCTTTTTACCTCTGCATTATTGCTGTTCGATTATTAGGCCTACTAATGAGATCATAGACAGCGGCAGCTTTAACAGGCTGCATTCACACTAATGCACAGATCTATTTCGATATATCAGATGTTCTGTCATGCTCTGAAAACATAACTGACTGTGTGTGAACATCAATTCCGTTTAAAAGTCAAAAATGCATTTATGCAAACGCATTTAACCGCAGCCGCAATCGAGCTTCAGGACAAACAAACACAAAGCGCAAGTGAAAGTCTAATAGTCAAGTCACCTTTATCAGATAATTAAACAGATTTTGTTATTTTTAGTTAAACTTAATTTTTGTTGCTTGTCTGCGCTCGTCCGCCGCCTTTTCCTCTTCTCCGACCGCTTAGTGTTAGTGGCACCAGTCCAGGTGTTTCCAGGTGTTACTCCCTTAGATCTTTGAGTTCAGCTCATGAAAAATGGGGGCAAAAACAAAAGTGTTGCTTTTTAATTTTGTTCAGTGTATGAATACTTTCCTAACTGTTTAGTAAAAAAACGTTGATGGATTCATTAAAAACAATACCTTCCGGTCCAGGCCCCATTAACTGGATGTACACATGTTTTTAATGCTTTTTTAAACTCACTGCTTAAAGATGTTGTAAAGTTCTCAGTGCCTTCAGTTTTACTTACCATGTTGTTCAGTGTCATCAGTTTTGTGTGTATCTGTGTCGTCCAGTCTGTCTTTTGATTCTGTACCACATTCTGTAGAAGATATTGAAAGGTCAGTCTTACAGTTTAGCATCAAATATCTGTTCAACTCATGAAGAATACACCTCCCCTTACGCTAAGAAAATGTATTTCCTAATATATGAATGCTCAATATATTAAACAACATAATGGTATATTAGAAATTATACAGAATAATATATTGTGTAAATATATTACAATATATTGAATAATACTTAAGGAATTGCCTCTTTTCATATATTGAAATATATGTGACAATATATTTACTTATATATCACAATATTTGTCATTTTATATTCAGTAATACACTTTATAAATATATAGATGTACATGTGATAAGATATGGTACTGCATGTGTGAAAATATATTGAATATAAATATATTGTTTTTTCCCCCGTCTCCACAACATTTTATGTACTATATTGTATTTGGAATATGTTCTGATCTTCAGTGCAAATTACAGCCTAATTGCAATGATGTACTGAAGGATTTTACAATGTGGTGAGAAATAAATATTTTCATGAATGAACGAGTGCAGTACTCGTCTCATGTGTTGTGTTTGGTCAATATATTCATGAACTTTAACAATATCTCTCTCACACACACACACACACACACACACACAAAAAACAAAGCTATCAAAAATAGAAATGTTACACGTGTTTAAGATTGAGTGTAAGTGGTTCAAACATAATTCGATTTTATGAACCATGTGTCTGCCATACGGTACCAAAACTGGGTTTTGTTAAATTATTGTAAAGTTTTGAATGAAGTGTTTCATTTTGCAAAAGATCTGAGATGTTCTGATGCTTGTGTGTGTGTGTGGATGTGTGAATAGTGTGTAGTGTTTTGACAAAATGAGCCTTGTTTTTAAAATGTGCTTAAGCAATCGTAAAAAAAACTGCAATGGAAACATTACAAATACAGACTTACTCAATAAGTTTGACACATTTCAATTAATGTTAAGACAGTAAGAACTTGTGGAAAGTATATGTGAATGTATACATGCTGTTTTGAGTTTCGTAAGGGATCAAATTGTCATTAATGCTGTTAAGTTATTTTGGTGAAAAAAGAGAAAGGATTTTGGGATGGTTGTTGTTGTAGCACAAACTGAATTCTAAGTGGATTGCTGAATTCATTTTTTTCCCTCTATATTAGTGACACAGCAGAGTTCACCGTGTCACTTCAGATGGCTCCATAAGAAATGGTAGGCTTACATGATTGTGGTCTTGTTCCTCATATACCACGTGTTTCACATTCAGTTCTATAAAACAAAGTTGTGTTTGATCAAAACAGTTCAGAATTCAATTTAATGTGTTTTAGCCACTTTGACAACTACAGTAAGGATACTAATTATGTCATTAATTACTCACCCTCGTGTTGTTCCAAACACGTAAGACCTTCGTTCATCTTCGGAACACAAATGAAGATATTTTTGATGAAATCCGAGAGATTTCTGACCCGCCATAGACAGCAAGGGAACTTCCACGGTCAAGGCACTGAAAGGGGCCAGTTCTCCTCTGGCCAGACCAAACCAGCAGTTCAATTTCAGGCTGCAGCAAAGTCACATTGTGCAGAGGACTCATCTGGTTTCTGTGTTCTTGTCCCGGTGGTCATCTGAGACAAGGTCTTTACAGGGTATCTGAATCTGGGGCTCATCTAGTTGTCCTGGTCTCCGCTGTCTTTCAGGGCTGTAGAGGTCCTTTCTAGGTGCTGATCCACCATCTTGTCTGAATACGTACTGGATCCGGGTGACTGCAGTGATCATCTGATCTGGATACAGACTGGATCAATCAATACGATGTTTAATAGGGAGCCAGTGCAGTGTTGACAGAACCGGGCTAATATGGTCATACTTCCTGGTTCCAGTAAGAAGTTTAGATATATTTTTGCGATGGAAAAATGCAGTTTTACTAATGCTAGAAACGTGGCTTTCTAAGGAAAGATTGCTATCAAATAGCACACCTAGGTTCCTAACTGATGACGAAGAATTGACAGAGCAGCCATCAAGTTTTAGAAAATAACTTTATTCAATGATTTCACATTCCATTTACGAGAGTACCACAATGCAACCACAGTGTTTTGTTTTCTTTTTATTTATTAATTAATTCAATCTGCCAAATATTTTCCTTGTTTTCCACATAGGAATCTATGAGTAACTGTGATTTGTTTTCCCGAGCTAAATCACATTGTCAGTGAGTTTCGCAAATATCGTAAAATACTTTATGGTATATGAATACAATGTAAACACTTATATATTTTGATACATTTACTTTTTACTATAGCCATCTGTGTCTGTGTTAAAATATGGATTCTGTCACTCTAGCAATGTTTGTCTGTTGTCCATGTCAGGTACGCATTTTAATTAGACGGTGGGGAAACGCCCACAATTGATTCTACTTGGTCAAAACGAAGAAGCTTTTACATAACTTTTAGCATTAATAAATATTCATTATGTTACTAGAAGACACACAATACAGCAGTACTAATCAATGTAGCGATTGCTAGAGCATCTTGTTATTTTAGAAAATCTTCTTCGCTCTGTCACAGCTGCTCTGATGGTATGAAGCCGGTGCATTAAATCTCTTTGATCGCATTTAAGCTCTTTAACCTCCATCCGATGTGAACGTGCCAAAATAAACTAACCTTTGTATTGTCCACACAAATATCACCACACAGTCAGCATTTCACAACTCAACTCCAGAGTAAATAAAACCATTTATGGTTGTTAACTGAGAGCCAAATCTGTGGGGGGGAAAACACACAACACTGTGCAGCTACTTTGTATCTCACTGATGTGTGCAAAATGACGGTACTTCATTATATAAGATAATGTTTATCAAAAGACATTCTTGTAAATCCATTTCTGGAGATATAATAATTATTAGGGGTCCAAGTACAAAGTGCTGGAAGCCTGTTGTATTTATTGTTTTTCTTCTTCCTTTCCCTTGTCCCTTGTTGTGCAAGAGAATGTGAAAAATACATTTCTTTCAGAATTGAGTGAAAATGCACTTCAGGAAAAAAACATGGCCTACGGCTTCTCTTTTTCAGACCTGTCAGCACTAAATGCACTAAATCAAAATATCATCATTTTAATTTTACTTTCACCAAAACTTAGGTGCAAAACCTTGACCCCTTACTTAGCCTATAGTAAACCCAAAGACCTTGATTAACTGGTTCAGATGTGTTTAATTAAAGCACTAAACTTAAGAAGACTGACCACCAGACATAGGACTGAAAACAAGCCAAAAACTTAAACAATTTGTCGGTTTTTTTCTGTATAAGTGTAAATGATATGCTAATTTCAGTATTGCTGTCTTTCTCTATGAGTATTTATGCTAATTTACATGAATATTCATAAATTCAAAGGAGTTTGACACCATGTTGACATCCGCTAATATCCAATATTTTAATATTAATTTGCATTGTCAGCCTGCACGTCAACATAGTAGTTTTTTTTTAAGATATCTTGTAATATTGATGAGATACAGCAAAAAATAAAAAATAACAAATACATTTAAGAAAAAATTACAGTTGTATAAAGCAGTAACAGTATTATTTTGTGCATATGTATTGTGTTTCATTTCCATTGCATATCCCCCATTACTTCCTTTATCCAAGCCTCGTCTGCTTTCACACAAAATTCGTTTCTAGGTGTCATAACCCTGAGGGGAAAAGTTCGCATTCAAAACGCGTTATGGCAATGTAAATTTGTCTTCACAGCACTGACAATTCTTTTGGATGGAATTTGAAAGTCAATAAAATCAAAGCAACACCACACAGGAGCTGCAGGAGCA